TGACCAATAAAAGCAGATCATGGCATAGACACATAATTTGACCCTTCTAAGAATATCACCTTTTAATACAAACCCTGAAACTTACAAGAAGTGGCCATACCAAAATATTTTAAGGCTTCAGTTTTAATGCTTCCTGACCTTCAGCCCTTTTCAAATATGCGTTTAAAGTACTTTGTGTTCTTTAAATTGTCATTGATTCCAGTTCAGTTTGTGTCCTCCACAGCCAATTAAGAATACTGTATACCTAATAATAATAATAAAGCAATTGATCCCTCTCATCACAAAACTACTTTAATAACATGGATTCTACCTCATTTTCCTCTGCAGGTAATTGTGCCATGTTCATAAGTTGCCTGTGAATGACCCAATTATTCAAATCAGGTGTGTTGGTACAAAACATCTGAAAGATGCAGAACAGTGGGCCATAAGGATCAGGCTTGGAGACCACTTACCCATTTCTCATTTTCGACTGAAATGATCAATTTCACCACAGGATGTCGCTGATGACATTTAGAAACTTTTGTGTGTGCACTGCAGCTGGGCCAAACGGTATTAGTTTTTCGCCTGGTTCCAGTCTTTATAATTCAACACACCCAGTCACCACACTTATTATGTTAAAAATATTCCAAACATTTTGATTAAAATTCAATTCCGTTTTATTTATATAGTGCCAAGTCACAACAGAAGTCATCTCAGAGCAATGAACATAAACACTCATATGTAAAAATAAGTTAACAGAAACATCAATAAATATAGATGATAATGTAAGACTTTATCTGAGGAGCAGACTGCTTTGAATTTAACTCCATCACAGAACTCTCATCTATAAATAATAATAATAATAAGTACAGGCCCTGTTGCCGTTTCAGATCATGCTCATAGAAAAGTGAAAGGAAACCCCAAATGCTTTATGCATCACATTTAAATAACTAAAAATAAGCAATCTGCTTTTCTTTTAAATAATTAACAATGACCCTGCATACTTTCGTCAACAACTTGTTTATGACCTTAAATCCTCAGGTAAACTAACAATTTAAAAAGCCGTGTTATCATTATTATTTTATTAAAGGTCATTTTTGTGACATTTCACGTCAACAAAGTCACATTCCACGAGGGTGTTGGCGTACGAATTGAAAATATTATTGAGACATGGTATTTTTGCACTTATATGACCCGCCCTCTTTGTTTGCTTTGGCCAATGGCTTTTCGTCCGTATCCACCCAGCTTGGTGGTGCCTTTGTGAATCCTCGAAAATTTTAATTCTTAAAATGCTTTGCAACCGTTGGGCATCTATTGACTATAAAAATATATAACTAGAAAGAAATTAAATAAAATTAACGCATGTTATGTTTATTTTAAAATAGTTTGTCTATTCTCCCCCTCAAAAGTAGACCTAGGATTCTTCAAACCAAATGTCATACTTTAAGTCCGACGTAACTTGAATCCATCCCAATTTTTCAACGTGCACAATGGTGACGTTTACCATATCATAATGGCGGTAGCCTGACCTGTTTTGAATTCTGATCCGCTATTCGAAGTTTATCCCGCATTTAGGTGGTAAAATGGTATGTTATATCTGAGATATCGGGATATAAGTGAGCTGTGATGATGGACCGCAGTGATTCTGTCGTAGGGGACGATTTGACGCTTCCTGTCGATATCAACGGAAGGTAAAACACGAAACAACGAAAGCTAACGAGCTACGGCTAACTAGCCTAGCAGCATGTCATATTATTGTTGTATGGTTTAGACATAACACACAAACCGTGAAGCAGTATTTTACATTGCAGTCAAATATATATTAATATCAAATTAGAAGCGCTTGCGCTAATTGGGTTACAGAGCTAAGGGATACAACCAGAATATCAATACGTTGATTGCTTTGCCATTTTTAATAATGATAAGGGAAATTTTTGGAGGCTATCAAGCCACATCCTTATTTGTATCACTCCTTGAAAAGGTTGTTTTCTTCTATTTTTTAATTGACTCAAATGAACATGTGAAGTTGCAGGTTTTTAGATACATATGAGGTCAAGTTCATTCAACCTTTATGTCACTTTGAGTCGCAAGGACAAGAAAGACTGGATACATAAATACGTTTTGCACTCCTGACAAACTGGACTACAGAAATAGTAATTGTAGCAAATTTAATTGTTAAAGCCTTCTTTTATAAGTTATTATTTTTCTTACTAGTTATTACAATAAGTGAAACTCAGCTCAGTGATTGGCTGTTGCTGTGATATCGCTGCGATTGGTAGGTTTTTGAGCTGTCACAGAGTGTGTTAAAGCGGAAATTATACGAGTCAGTGCATTCAGATTGTAGCAGAGACGACTGCCAAGTGATATTAACATGTTGTATTATAACCAGTATGCTTTTCCTCCTTGGCATGGAATAATGATGTGATTGTGGTAGGTGAAGCTTGCATTATTATTAGCTTTGTCCAGCTGTGATGTTTCTGGATTGTGTTTGTTGAATATGGGTTAGCTTTTCCTGTTCCATTGAAAGGCTACTTACAGCATCCGTGTTGCTTATGATTTAGCGTATAGTTATTGCGCCTTCATATGACATAGTCCAGCTGTGTTTTGTGGAAAAATGGTCATCCAGGTGGTAGGCGTGCCTTAGTAACCCAAGATGATAGCTGATATGTGGGGTATAAATTACTTATTGGGTAATTCAGCAACCAGACTCGCTTTACTCTTTTTAATTTTTTCTCAAATATAAACTATATACTGATAGTGTATTCAGTTATTGCTGTTTTGCCCCATTATTTCCTGAAAGTAATGTGTACTTTGCTGGTTTTATGTTTGAGGAGAGCAGCTGAGCAAAGTGAAGAAAAAAAAGAGGAAGTTACTGTTGACATGCTCTTTCATTTTTCCACTGTGTGCTGGAGAGGTTACAACAGCTGTACTACTGACAAAATGCTGTCAATCACTGTGACAGTAAGCAATTGTTATGCCCGCTATTCGTTTTTGATTTATTAAAGTAGGTATTTTTTTGCTACTGTTTTTTCATGTGATTGTGATTTGTGTTTTTGCTGATATGGCTGCTTTTGTTGTAGCGCACTGCCTCTTTGTTTACACAGGAAGATGTTGCTTGGCATGTGAAACCACAGTGATGCAGTCGTTGTCAGCACTGTGTTTTGTGACTTAGTTTTATTTCAGCTACTTTGTATAACATGTAAACTTTAAGTTAAATAATAAAGAGCATTTTGATGATTCTAACTAGGTTAAGTCAGGTCCTCTGGACGGATTCTTCTTTGTTGAAATGTTTCGTCTTTTATCCAAAAGACTTCTTCAGTCTGATACACTGAAACAAACTCAGCCTTATTGCACCTTCTTGTATTGGATCAACCAGTTTGCTGCTGACCACCAGGGATAGCTGTTCACATGTAAGAGAAGGACCATTAGCCCAACAATTGATCATTGGAGCCCTAACAATTGGTCGATAGTACCCTGATGGCCGCTTGCTATTCACAGGGTTGAGTGATATTGGCAATAACAGCACTATAAGAGAGTGATAGTTGAACACGGAGACCCCCACCCCTGTTTAATGATGGACGGGTTCTCTTCACAAAGATGGGTTCCTTCATTCCTCTCTCAAACCATCGTTCCTCTCTATCCAGGATGTGAACATCTGCATCCCTGAAAGAGTGACCTGGAGATGAGTGTAGACCGCAGAGTCCTGGCCTGATGATGTTGCTCTTCTGTGCTGGGCTATCCTTTAGACCAGTGGCTGTTTGGTTTCCCCGATGTAAGACTTGATCACAGCCCTCCTGACACTGAACAGCATACACAATTTTACTTTGTTTGTGCCGAGGGACTGGATCTTTGGGATGAACCAAACATTTTGTTTCAGCAAAAGAGAATCCGTCCAGAGAACCTGACTCAACCTTGTTGAATTTTTCTACCTGGATTATTGAGCATGCATCAAGACATTTTGATGATTATTTCATGGGTATTTCAGGCCATTTCTGAAATTTCTTGTTGTCACAGCAAGTTACTGTTGAGTGTTTTAACTTTTTTGTTTTTGCATAATGTCAAAACATGACAAAAACAAGGAAGCTTTAAATACAGTATGTTCCTGTTGTAAAGGGTTTTCAGATTCCTCATAGTCACAGAAAGACAGATCAAGGACCTAAACTGTACACAATGGAGTAGGAAGCAAAATTGTCAGATACTTTGTGTTTCTTACAGGAAGAGTAAAAAATGCTAAGTTTAAAAAATTGTTTTAAAAATGTTTCATGTGATAAAAAAACAAGCTTTTTTTTTTT